CAGGCACATCTGCTGAGTATTGTAAGGAGGAGTTGAATTCCGGATCACGATCATTGACATCTGTCAGTCGCACTTCCAGCATAACACTACTGTTATGGAGACCGTCTGAGACTTGCACCTGCAAATGTTATAGAGATGCGGTCAACACAGAAACAAAGAGTGGATGAACAAACAAACGACCAAAAATTTCAGCTGTATTGTCTTTATTTCACCTGACGACTGACAAACAAGGGCCCAAATTTTGTATTTAAACAAAGAGGTGTGCCACTCACAACTACTTTGTAGAGGTCCTTGGTCTCTCTATCCAACACATTTTTCACAGTTACAACTCCTAAGTATTTTCCATCCTTTTTGACGGTCTTAATGTTCAAGTGATCGTCTGGGTCACCGCTAGCGATGCTATATGTGAGCTGCAAGGAACAAAATAGTGAAAATATTACAAGATGTCGAAATAAAGAAAGGCAATTTTTCCATAACCCATTCCCACCTCGTCTGTATTCCGAGGTTCTGATACTCAGTTTAGACAAAAACACCTTTGTCTGCTACAAGTAAAGACTTAAGAGTGTCTTAACTTGCTAGAAACCAAAAAAGGCTGACGCGCACTCCTTTCGACCTCACTTCCTAGCTTGTTGAAGCTTAGGCTTATCATGCTTCATATATATTATCTTCCATGGGGGTTAATTTGTAGCCCAGTGCAATTGATTGTATGCTTGTTCAATACAAACGTTATTAAGTACTATGTCACACATAATAATTCAGGAGACGTCAACGATGTGTCTACACTTTAACTTCTTAGTTTTAAGGGTGCAACATGCTTATTTTAGCACATATAAATCAAACTGTATCAATAAAACAGAGACAGATACCACCGACGCGCGCTACAGGTCAAGTTTGGTGAACGTTTATGATAAAAACAAATGGGGTTTTCCATACACTGATCGTCATTCGTTGGGTAACTAGCTGCTGTCGAGAGGTTATTTTGGAAGCTGGGAGGAGTTTCAGTGCCAGTTGCCGTTGTGGAGAGGTGGCTGATGCAGAGAGGTTAAAATAAGAGTGAATTTAAAAACTGTCCACCGGGAACGAAAAAAGTGGCCGTTGTAGAGAGTTGGCATTTAGTGGAGGTTCGACTGTAGAAGAAAGCCAAAGATCTGAAGTATATATTACCACTGTGTTCTCAGCACTGTCCATATCAGTTGCTTGCACTGTTGTGACAGTTGAACCTACAGGACTGTCTTCTTTTACTTCACTCTGATAATCCTGGAACTGAAAAACTGGAGTGCGATCATTGACATCTCTGAGTAGAACGGTAACCTAAAAAAAAAAAAAACTGTTAAAAGAGAATTAAACCTTGAATGAAAAAGCCGACGAAAACGGCCTGAGGAACCTTGGTAGCACTTGTGACATCATCGAGCTTGTCCCGAAAGAATATGTTTTTAACAGGAGTTGGTAATGGAGAGGAAATATTCTTAAAATGGTATGCTTAAATGAATGTAATGTTATTAATATGATTAGAGATACACTGATTAAATTTACGAACTTGTACTGTTGAAACCAAGAGATCATCGTCTCTTGTTGAAACTGATCGAAAACCTTGAGGTTTCTCGCATTACTGACCGATGTTTCGCCGTATCTTGGAGGATTTCCGTTGTCTGTTGCTGTTACACGTAGCGTATAGTTTGGTATGATTTCTCTGTCCAGTGGCTTCTGTACTACGATTTTTCCCTGTTAAAGTGAAAGAAACAATGGAAGATTAAGCAAATCAAGATTGTGTGGGTTGTATCCCTGTCACGTGGCACTTTTTCTTGATGAAAAACGACGTTCGACTAAAGTTGTTTCATTTCTTCCCTGGGGAGACTCCAATATGAAAAGATCCGGATGCTCTTCGGAAAATTTGAATCAAACCCCTAAAGGAGACCAATCTAGTCATGGCTCGAGCTTTATGTGACCCACTAAAAGATACCAATTAAAACGAAATAGGTTCAATTACCAGGAAAATGAGCCCCCGCTTGTAGACCGAACTCGAGAGACAGGTGGAAATCGAGCTTCAAAACGGAAATAAGAGCGTTTTTATTATCATTTCTTCGAGTACACCCTGAAAGATACTTTGACAGCCGACTGAAATAGAGGTGTTTTGTCATCAACACTCTAAGTGAGACCAGAATCCTTGATTTATACCCATAAGCGAGACGACGAGCATCCACGACCTCTTCATCTGAGAGTTCCCTTCGTGTTCATTTCATTCACATTTCTAAGTTTTCCAGCCTAAAACAGCCTCCTGAGTAGTCGAGGAACAAAGGTCAATTCTTGCGATCGGAGTTTCTGACGATGAAGATTTTTATCAACTGCTGCAAGAAAACAAGAAAAGGTAAAGAACATCTTACTGAGGTATGGAAAATCTTAAACTGTCCGTGTGGATCACCAGCAGAGATGTTATATCCAATGCGGGAACCTGTGGCCGAGTCTCGCTCGGTTGCCTTGACCTGTACCACGTGACCACCTATCGTTTCATTTTCCCAAACCTCCACACTGTACATAGCTTGCTCAAACTTGGGATTGTTGTCATTTTCATCCACAACAGTGATGTTTACATGAAGTGTGGAGCTGTTAAGCGGTGGATTCCCATGATCCATCGCTACGACATAAAATGTGTAACTAGACAACAGAAGGAGAAGAAAAGTAACATTTAGTTCAATTTTCCGTTTAACAGAACCTCACTTTAGCATGATGTCTCTGAGATAAAGCGCTTCTAAGTGTGAGTTCATCCAAAACATGAAAGATAATCAGACAGGGAAATGTAAACCTCTTACCAGCCTCGTCTACTCGGTCTGTACTGAAAGTTACCGACCGAGGTTCTTCTCCTATAGCTCAACATGAAGCTGAAGCGCGGGCCATAAACTGAACCGGAAAAACCGAGGATCCGCAATGCACAATAGAGGCCGAGAAGATGAAGTTAGTGATATATTTGCTATACCTCAGCTGGGTGTCTGACGGGTTCGGGAAACCATTTCTCAAGCTGTTAGCAGGTTTTAATGCATGTCGTCAACACTGATGTTAAGAAAACACGTTTAAATTTGCCGTGAATGTGTAAGAAAATGTGGTCATAAATCACGAGACATTCTGGGGACTAACCAGCGATCTGGGACCTATTTATTTACGGCGAACGTTAATTTAGGC